GGGGGGGTGAGGGAGGGAGGGAGGGAGGGAGGGAGGGAGGGGAGGGGAGGGGAGGGGAGGTGTGTGGGGTGACCTGTCACATTGCAGCAGCATGTTACCAAAAAATGGGGCGTTCAAGTGGAAACATGGAGGGAAACAGACAAAGCGGGAAGAGCATGCAGCACTGCGCTCCTGTGAGGGAGAGGACCCTCTCATCGCTCGTGGGTGCGATCATGCTGACATCGAGGCAGCCAGCAGGGAATACATACACATGTTCCGTTTCGAACTGAAGGTCGCAGTACTTTCTTTTCACGCGTGGTGCCGGTGGTCTCTACGGTGCTCGGAATGAGCCGAAGAGGATCTAGTTTTGGCACGAAAAAGAGTGGAGTCTGGCGGCAATTCTCTTCATAAGCGGTGAGACGCCTCCGAGAGAGAGTCGATCAAGCTTGTCGCACGCGCGGCTACAGCAGGCTCCACGACCCTCACAGTTCGGTTCGACACTTGGTACCATGTTGAGGCGCGTTCGCTGTGGCCTCTTTCGTGCCCAGCCCCCGCCGCTCGGTGAAGCTGATTGGTTCTAGTGGACCCGACCGAAGCTCTTTCAGGCAACACCAACAAAACGTTACACGACACACACCACCGCATCGGTCTGAAAGGCGAAGGGTACCGTACCGAGCATCCTACACGACACCCACACCACCACCAAACAGAACCCCCCCCGCCTTCCACTTAAACTCAACCCTCCCCCCCGCCGAAACATTACTGCCCACCTGCAGGAGAGCGTCCATGTCCTCGGGCGAAAGAGCGCCCCAGCGCAGCCGTAGCTTCCTTCCCCTGCCGTCGCGCCCGTGGTCCTCCCCGCTCGCGATCATCTCCGCCATCGCCGCCATCGCTGCCCCCTCCGCTCCCTCCGCCGCCACCGCCCTCCTGGCCTCGCACACCTCCGATATCGGGTACGGCGGGGCGAGGGTGCTCTTGAGGGCGTGGATGGCTCCCAGGGCTCCCCTCGAGGCCTCGTTCGGGTCGCCGACGACCAGCCACGGCCGCTGCTCCTGGGGGAAGAACGCCAGCTCGAGCACAGGAACTCCCAGCCTGCGCAGCACCGTCACCAGGACCTTGAGGCGAGGGGGCTCCGCCGGCGCGGGACCCGGTGCACCCCCGCCCCCCCC